AGGCACTTGTTCCTCTGGGCACAGGTCTGAATCTGAATGTAACATCTACTTCAAAGGAGGATTCCCTGTGCTGATGAACGAACTTCTCCAAGTATCTGGAATTTTCAATCTCAGCCTCACAGTGGTTTTGTTCTCATTGCTAACACACAGTCACACTCCAAAATGATTTAAAAAAAAAAAAAAAGGTGACCCTAGGGCAGGCCTGATAGCTCAGCAGACTAAAGCGCCTGCTTAGGCAGAGCATAACATAGTTGGGGTTTGATTCCCTGTGGGCTGTGCTGGTCCCAACCCCAGGGCATGCTGAGTCTGCGATTGAGACTGGGCGTGGTGGCCATGCCAGTAATCCCAGCACTTGGGAGGCTGAAAACAGGAGAATCACTACGAGTCTGATCTCCGTAGCGAGACCCTGTAGACCCTGCAGACCCTAAATACAGAGAAGAAGAAGAGGAAGAGGAAGAAGAGGAAGACGCAGCCACCTTGATGTACAATGGGTCCCTTCTGAAGTAAAGTCCACTAACAGGGCAGGCGAGGAAAGTGAAGAAGAATTAAAGGCTAACAAGGTCATAGTTCTAATCCAGAAAATAGAAGATTTACACAGACCACAGTGGAATGGCAAATTTTTTCAAGACCCAGATCAATAACATAAAGAAGCCCAAGTTGTACAAACACAAGAGGAATAATTCTGAAATGACCTGGAGGTGCTTTTGCGAGAATATATCTCAATAACATTATAAATTAGAGGGCATATAAATTAGAGGTCAGAAGGGATACTTAGACCTTTCAGTTACTTTCCTGTATTTTATGAGGAAAATTACAAGCTGTCATGGGACTCGTGGACTCGGAGACTTGCGAAGACCTCAAGATACATAACTGTGAATGTCTGCAAAGGACCTTTGCTAAAAACAGTCCTATAGTGAACTCTACAAATGAACCCGGCTCCACATGTCTGATAATTTCTTTCAGATTGCTTCTTGGAAATGCAGACTAATACACAGCAAAACAAGCCAAAGCAGCCTCCAAATACAAAATTCACATTTAAACCACAAGTGGAGGTAAGGTGACATTTTTAGAAAACCTCCAAAATTGACATCTAAGAAGAAATTTTAAGGAAAACTTCTACAGTATTCCCCAGTCACTGCAGTACTTGTATAGGGAGCACGCAGCGAAGCTGAGGGTTTGAGAAAGCCCTGTCTAACATCATCTTGTTCCCTGCTAGGGAAGGCAGGAGGGACCCCTGGGGGAGGGGAAGGCTGAGAGGACGCATGATCAAGTAAGAAGCCCCATAACAGAGAGGAGAGCTCAGAAGGCTGGAAATGTAAGCACCAGTTCTTGTATTTCTTGGCTTTGTTCAGGGTCAAATCTTGTTTTATACACTTCAACAATGTGTGACATTTCCCCACCAGGAGACAAGGTAAAGGGTCGGTGTCTTTCTCTCCTTCCTTTCAGATTTCCCCCTCAGATTTCCTTGACTTTCTGAGACTTTTGACTCCCATGAAGAGAGGCTGGGAGATCAGGGAACCCCCAGAAGGTCCCCAAGCTTCTGTGCTCTGAAAGAAGGAACTGTCTGCTTACTGGCCCGCAAAATCTTAAAAGAGCCACTTAAAAATGTCTGAAAACTCAGATGAAAGCACTTGTTCTGACAAAAGTGTACAAGCAAGGTTAATGAAAGAGCTTGTTTGGCCTGCCAAGGTGACCTGGTGAAGTGTGAAATCTCAGGGAGCGAGCAGGAAATTCTCACTAACATAAAATAAGGCTTGTACCAAGATAAACTGGCTGTCAGGAACTGGTTCTCCATGAAAACATGGAGCTACTGGCCAGCAGAGAACAGAATCTGACAGGAACTTTGGAGCAAACCACTTCTAAACCCATTTTCTACCCATGAAAGAGCAAATCCACAATCTCATTTCAGTCGACCAGAATGTATCCAACAACTACCAAACTCAGTGAATGTCCATTGCATGTTGAGGGCAAGGCCAGGTACTGGTGGTGCCCACGTTAAAAAAAAAAAAAAAAAAAGAAGAAGAAGAGAGCTAGCCAGGGGGAGAGGTGTTTTTAAATGATGCAAAGAACATCAACACTATCATTAAGAAAAAGGAAGTGTTTCTCTTACCATACAGTCTTCCGTTAATGGAACATTTTTTAAAAGTCATGATGTTTTCAGTGAGGGTGCCTGTTTTGTCAGAGAACACGTATTCAATTTGGCCCAGCTCCTCATTGAGCATGGTTGTGCGAGCTTCGGCGGGCGCTGCCTTCCCAGAATAGTACATCTTCCGGTCCCAGTTGATAAAATAACTGTGTCCCAGACGAATCACTTCCATACTGTGACCCATTAACACAGGGGGAAAAGAGAAAGGCTCCATCAGCTTCCAAACACACAAAGCTTTGGAACGTACAAAGTCTGCCAAAGTTCTCAGAGTCTAGAAGAAAACATGGATGCAATGTACCAAAGTCCCAGAGATCTTCAGACATGGCTCAGTAAAAATCTGTTGGTACACCTCAGGGGGAAGGTCATGTCCCTACAGCACCATGAAACAACAGGAATGGCTGAGCAGAGAGCTTGGGAATGTACCACAGTGCTCAGGGAGAGAGCCCAAGCCCAGAGGAGATTTCTGTGCACCATATTGATTCGCTCTCCTTTTATTTCTTTAAGAAATCTAATTTTTATTAAACATGTTTGCCTTATACAGTGCCATTGAAATGTATGATGAACATTCCAGTTTTTAAAAATTATTGCAACACAAGACACATTGACAAACACCTTCCTTGGATCACTCCCCTTCACTCTGAGCACAATGCTCCCATCATTCTTGTGTCACTTTCCACAGAAGTTCTGGAAGTCCTCTGCCACGAGGGCCTTCAGCAGATGTGTTCAAGCATAAGGTGAGCGCGGCTGCTGAATGACATCCAGGAGAAAGTCATGCTCCTAAAACCACGACAGTGTGACCTCGTCTGCCTTGTTCACTGGATACGGCACCATGTGACTGGCTTCCTTCCACAGTTAAAATGACCATGAGTCAGGTGTGGTGGCACATGCATGGCTGTGACCCCAGCTCTCGGGGGCGGAGGCACAAGGACTGCTGCAAGTTTGAGGTGAGGGTGGCTGTATAGTGGGTTCAAATCTAGCCTCAATTACAGAGAGAGACCTTGTCTCAAAAATAATAATAATAATAATAATAATAATAATAATAATAATAATAAAATACCATAAAATAAATGATCACGAAAGGTAGACATTGTGAGTTGATTTACAACTCAAGGGAGCAACTAAGGACACTCAGGAAAGAGGACTCCAGAGCTTCAGCAGTGGCACAAACTGGGATTGCTATATGTGAAGTGAGGAGGAGTATTTTGAGAGGGGTGAAGGACAATGTATTTTTTACTATAATAAGTTTTTAAATTTAAATATTCAGCACATTGTTATTACACTTCTTATGTTTGCTGACTGCATTCCGTCCAATACACTGATATGATTTTACTTTTCCAAAAGAGGTAGAAAACTACACGGCCCTCCATGAAGTACCGACCAAATCATAATAGCTATGAGTGAAAACAAAGGTGGTTGGCATACTTTTCTGCCTGTTTCCTGGGAAAAGAGCATTGTTCAAGTTTGACTGGTGAGCTATAACTTCTCAACTTTAGAAATGGGATTTCTGTGGCTGAGGGTAGTTCTTTCAGTGCTTGTCCTACAGAGTGCCAAACTGACTTCCAAAACATTCTGGCCGTGTAAGCTTCTACCAGCAGAACACGGAGAATTATCAACTGGAAGAGCAGCTTAACAGTTTAACTGCCATTTCTTTTCAAATGAGTGAGTTGAACACTTTTTGCAAATTTTATTGTCTAGTTGTATTTTCCCTTGGAATTATCTACTTATATAATTGCCTGTTTCACTTTTCCTATTTTGATATACATGTTTTTCTGTAGATTTTTTTTTAGGGGGTAGGGGATACTGGGAATCAAACTCATGAACTCACATTCACCAGGTAGGTGCTGTGCTGTTGAGCTACATCCCCGGCCCTTATAGATTTTTTTAAATTCTATAGATATTAAAGCTATTAACCCTATGTAAAAAAAAAAAAAAAATGAAGGACCAGGGGGCTAGCTCAGTAGAATAAGCTCCTGCCTGGTAAGTGCAGGGTCTTAAGTTCAATCTCCAGTACCACAAAAAAAAAAAAAAAAAAAATGGAGACATTCTACCCAGTTCATCCCTTGTCTTTTCACTGTTTCCTGTTTTTGATATGAAATTTTCTCTTTTTAGCTGATCAAGTCTAACAATAGTTTATAGTTTTGCATAAATAGGCCATTATGCCAAGATTATATGGAATATGCGTAGATGTATTTTTCTTCTAGCTTTTATTTATTTTTTTTATATTTACTTCTCCATCCTTTAGAATCAATCAACTATGAAGCTAATTTCAATTTTTATAAACTGAAAGCTATTTCATAGCTCTTTGCTGAATACAGAGCCCTTAGGTTAGGGTACCTCCTACATCACACGCCATTATTTGTTACACTGCTTTACAAATTTCCACTTTGTTCATGGATATATTATGTAATTCATCTCTTGTTTTCATCATTGCAACCTGGAAATACCTGAGAGATCAGAGCACCTTTATGCTTTTCTGTTAACTGTAATTATTCACTTATTCCTCCTGATAAAAGTAACATATTCATCTAAATAAACTTTAAAATCAAAATTTGGGGGATTTTTAGAATATTTATTTGGGATTTTTCTTAGATTTGTGTAAATCTTAAGTATTTGAAATGACCTGATATTTCATAAAGAGGAGTACAACTTCGAGAAGAATAATACATCTTCCTAGGAATCCAATTTTTAAAGTACTTCCCCCAGTAAAGAGTTTTTGTTTTGTTTTATTTCACTTTGTTTTGCTTTTCACAGGCATCCACAATATAATGTCCTTTGTGGATGAGTTTTCAAAATCATTATTGGTTTAAAAGAAAGCTTTTAATTTCTTTACAAGATGGCTCACAAGGGCCAGCCAAATAGCTCAGTGGAATAAAGCATCTGCAAGTGGGCACCGGGGCCGGGGATTCAATCCCTGGGCCTGCTGTGCCAGCCCCCGCCCTGGGCGCACTGAGACTGCGATTGAGACTGGGCATGGCGGCGGGCACCTGTCATCCTGGCACTTGGGAGGCTGTAAACAGGAGACTCACTAGGAGTCCATCTAGCAGTGAGACCCTGAATACTCTGTAGACCCTTCCCTAAAAATACCAAAAAAAAAAAAAAAAATTTAAAAGATGGCTCACAGAATTAGGTGTTTAACTGAATTATCCTACAAAGGGTTTTACAGATTGTCCTCCTGATTTTCTGGATTTACAATCCCTTGTACACGTTCTGTATATGCTGTCCACTGAAGTTGCAGCTTCACGTCTTCCTGACATTCACTTTCCTCATACAATAGTAGCAGCCTTCAGACGGAGACACGCGCAATGAGAAGAGCAGAGACTGAAGCTTCTGTCTGATCCTGGAGGAGACCGTCTCGGAGTTCTCGCCTGTAAGCTCGGGAGGACGGGCTAGAAGACACCCAAGCCCTTCCTGAGCATTAATCCTGCGCCTCTGTTCCTCACAGTCCCTGCTGCTTCTCGGAGAATGGGATGGGTCCCGTCCATTTTCAAGTATTTGAGTGGCAACATTTTTTCTTCTACATTAAAATCACATTATCACTATGAGTAATCACATGATACACACATAAGTCACACTTGGCAGGTATTTATTTCTATATTTTCATGTAATGTTTACTTTTCTGTGAGTCCTGCCTTCTCTCTCTCTCTCTCTCTCTCTCTCTCTCTCTCTCTCTCTCTCACCACTCACTTTTTTGTGGATTGCTAGCTAGCTGGGCCAGTTCCGCATAGTTTTTGTAATTTCTTTCACTCACAAGGTCCAGAACGGAGCTGTGTCTGTCATGCGCAGCCAGACAGAGTTGAATGAATAAATCCTGGCCATGAAGTCACTGACTTCACTAATAAGGCATTAAGACCTGAAAGATTAAGTGACTAACCCAGGATCACACAAGTAATTAGCCACAGAACCAAGACTGGAACTCTGTGTTCAGTAATGCCAGTGTAATCTTAGCCCAAACAATGACACTTTGCAGTATTTCCTCCTTCTCTGAGGTTTCACTTTCTTCGCTCCAGTTATCCACAGTAACATCCAAAAATATTAAGTGGAAAGTTCCAAAAATGAACAATGTATGCTTTAAATGTGCCGAGCAGCATGAGGAACTCACATGCTGTGCACTCCCAGCAGCCTGAGGGTGGCACATCCCCTGGTCCAGTGTGTCCTTGCTGTATATGCTGCCCGCCCGGTGACATCACCACCATCCTGGTTAACAGACTGATTGTGTTCCTCTTGTGCATGTGTTCAGGGGACCCTGACCAGGGACCCTAAGGCGACATTGCATGCCTCCATCACTCACCTTTCTTCATCTCATCATGTAGGCACTGTGTCATCTTACACCATCCAAGAAGAAAAGCAAGTATGGCATAATAATATATTTTGAGAATGAGAAGGGCTCATCCTACTCCCGGAACTTTTATGACATTGTATTGTCTATTGCCACTATTAATGATTACTGTTAACCTCTTACTGTGTTTAATTTATAAATTAAACTTTGTCATAGTATGTGTGCACAGTACCAAAAAATAAAATATACAGGCCTCAGAAGAATCTGCAATTTTAGACAATCACTAGGGGTCTTGGGATGTACCCCTCAAGAAGAAGGGTGGCTATTTTGGTGCAAATTATTCAAAGCTTCCAGTGATCTAAAAATCTAGAAACTTAAGCAAAATGACTGTAACCAAATCTGATTCTCCTGTGCTGCAGTACAAGCTGAAGGAAGCGTCCAAAATTCATTTAGATCCCTACAGCTCCAAATACCACTGAGAAGAGGAGGGCACTGGTTGTCTGGGAAAGAGGACGGCAGAGTCACAGTGGAACATGCTGCCCTCCTTTCAGAAAAGCCGAGCAAGGAGACAGAAGTTCCGAGTGAGCCCAGTGAGGACCGCTCCGAGTGAGGAGCTCTTGAGTCCTCTCACACTGCGGCAAAGCAAGCAACAGGGAAACGGGTTCGGGAAGCTTCTGAAGGCACCCCAAAGCCAGCTCCCCAGGAGAACAAGGGCTGCAATTCTCAGTGCACAGAGACGATCCTTGCAGCTGAGTGAGTCCTAACCCAACAGATGAACAAATCGGCAGCATAAAAATATCCTCTCAAAGTCAGTGTCCTGCTCACCTGGAATTGTTAGCCAGGCAAAGTGAGCTCTGCACTTGGCTCCTGGCGTGACGGAGGATGCTAATTTACCTGCACACCTATTCAGAAGCCAAGCGGACGCTCGCCTTGGGAGGCCTGGAGCGCTCCAAACAGAAAGGCCTGGAGTTCTTACTGCAGGCCTCGGTCCTCCAGGACATCCCGGGGAAAGAGCCTCCTCCCAGCTGAGAGCAGAACGACTCTTCTTACTTGGGAGAGAAACTTCCCACTTACTCCCCGTCAGCGCTGTCCCCTTCCACTAAGGGGAGAAGTGGCCTCTTCCTTCTCTGGGGACTTCTTCTAAAGCAAGCAGAGCTTGGGGATGGGGGGAAATGCGGTGCCAGACGGCAGAGTCATGGGCTTGGATCTCGGCTCTGCCCCAACTAACTCCATAACCCAGAGCAAAGACAGGGAAGCACTTTATATGAAATATTTTAAAAGAAAGAGAAAAACATCCATAGAGTTTATGTAAGGCATCATATTTTACGGTACGCTACAGACTGTCAGTGACTAACTTGGAAAATTATAAAGAGCATATATGTAAATAGGTTTAAGCAATAAACCGCTTTGCTGATCTGAAATAGAAGTATTTATTTTTCTATTATATACATATATACACATAGGAGTGTACAAGGTGATATTGTTTATTAATTGGAGCAGACAGGAGTCCCAAAATCAATTACTATAATTCCCTGATTTATAAGCAGCACAAATTTGACAGATATCGGAAGGCCCAGAAAGAAGCCACGCGCTTTCTCTGAGGTAACACAGACATTATTTGCAGTGTCAAGACCAGAAACTGGGTTTGGGCCACTATGAACAGGTTTCCTGCTGCCCCTGCACATCAGAAGAAGAAGGAAGGCTAGCCTGACAGTGTAGCCTCGGCCTCTAAAAAATAAAATAAATCGCTGGGAAGATAGCTCAGTGGCATAAGTGCCTGCCTGGTAAGCACAAGGTCCTGAGTTTGATCCCCAGTACCAAAAACATAAAAATAAAAATAATCTTTCAAATTATTAAACAAAAGCACATCAATTCTCTTCAAAGAAGCAACATACACAGGGTAGGCTTTCCTCAGAAGGACAAATGAAGCTGACATGAGCAGATGGGAAGCCACCGTACTCATTTATTATTCACTCAGGACATAAAAGGAAAGCCATAAAAGCTGACCGTAGCTCCACTGGCAAAGAGCAGGATTTCTTCCAGACCCGTAATGGGCTTCAAGCATGGGAGGTACTCAGAATCAAAGATGAGCCAGGAGCGCACAGTTCAAGCAGAGCCACGCTGACCGCAGCCCCAGAACCCAGGGAGACTGGCGGTGCTGTGGCCGCGGGCTGCTGCTTCAGATCAATTTCCCACAACGTGACATTTTGGTTTCCTGACCACTGTCCAAACAAGGGGGAATTGTGTGCATTCAGCTCCCTTTGCTTCATCGTAGCTAGGTTTTGGGAAAGAGAGAAAGGGAGGGTAGAAAAAAGACGAGATCAGAGCTGGTGATTTGGAGTGTTGTTAAAGTCCTGCTGACAAGCCGAGTCAAATAACCAGGTCCTCTCTGCCCCAGTGTCTGGGACCACCTGACCCAGCCAGGGCAGGATAAGATGGAAGAGATGTCAGGTGCAGATTCCAGGCCAACTCCTCAGTCTTCCCGAAGACAGGCATAAACACACACAGGTGTATGTATACACACACATGCATGTGTGCACATACATGATAGATATGTGTGTGTGTGTGTGTGTGTGTGTGTGTGAGTGTGTGAGGAGAGAGAGAATAACAGACTGACAGAGGCAGCGAGACCACTGTAGTTCCAGTCTGTTTCAGCTCTGACTCTGTAAATGGCAGGTCAACATGTGGTGGAAATTATGATTCACTCTTCTTATCTAACAGCCAACGAGCACTCTGTTATGTTTTAACTGCTTTACATACCCACTACTAAGAATAGGGAAAGCTGTATTCATTAACTTTACAATGCATCAGGCAGTCTTCTAAGAGATTTATAGGAATTTACTCAGCCCACAGATAATCCCGTGCAAAGGAACTGCCATTGTCTCCAACTTTTCCATACCGGAAGTGAAACACTGGCCTGACACTGTTGAGCTACGCCCACACCCAGGTATCTACAGTCAGACTAGTGGTGGAATGGCCCCCTCAGTGTCGAGCTCCCCAAATGTTCTTTTTGTTACCCCAAACCAAACCAATTCCAGTTGGTTGCATTGCATGAGGCTATGTTACAATCTATGTGTTCCAAAGAAAGTCATTCCTAAGACACCAAATCAAGAGCAAAATAAAATGAATTTATTATAACTTGAAAATGTAAACATTGCACCAGTTAAACAGCTTAGGTGCCTCATGAAGCTGCAGGTCATAAGCAGTTAGAGCAAGACATCTATCTCACTGTTATAATTTTTTAAAAACACAAGCGTCATTGCATAGAACATTTGGTGAAATGGTTTCATTAAAGCATAAACTGTCATCTTACCTCACATATAATGAAATGGGTACAACTGTATTGAGAATAATAATGTACGACCAGAACATTAAGAATCCCGAGAACACAAAACTCTTCTCTTTTTTGTTCTGAAAGAGGAAAGTTCTGAACTGGCCTCCGACTTGATTCTCCCAGATCGAATTTCCTATTGCAAGAATAATTCCCAAGCATACCAAAAACCCGAAAATCTGAAACGAGAATAAAAATCTGGTTAAGGTTAACTTGGACCCAAAACTAGTCACATAAACATTATCTAATTACAGTTCTAATGCCAAGAAATCACCATCTGAACGTCCAGTTATGCAAACCTCTTATTTCTTACCGTTAATCCATATGAACAAAATTTAACATTTTTATATCAGAAAAATTGCTAAATATTTGGTACACATTTTCTCAGTCTCCCACTGACTGAATTAGAAACAATCATTATCCATGTTTTACAGATGAAAAACAAAATGAAATAAAGCAAAGCACAGAAAGACACTAAAACTCGCCCGTGGTCACACAGGCTAGCAACTTCATATCCTCACTTTGTGATAAACACACATACATAAGCAGCTTACACGAAGGAGACGGTGTGCCCCAAGTGGGTCTGGAAAGCCCCACTTTGTATCTATGGCCAGGCAGAGGATTACCAAGGTCCCCTTTCACCTGTGCAAGTGTATTCAAAGGTGTGGTTGGCAGTGACATGCACACTTCCACCTAGTGCCACCAGTGAGAGGCAGGCTCACCCCCACGTGACGCTGTGTCCACACCTGTCTCACTCACCAGATCTGGCACTCTCTGATGTCTGGCTCTTGCTCAAAGCCAAAATAACCATGAAAGGGAAATTACTTGAGGACATTCATGTAGCCAGAACAGCGCAACTAAAGACACTCACGAAAGAGGACTTCCGGAAGTGCTTCAGAAAGCGGCAGCAGTGGTGAGAAAAGTGTGTTTGAAGTGAAAGAGAGTATTTTTAGGGGGGATTGTGTTCAGCAATGTGTTTCTGCTGTAATAATTTTAATGTAAATATTCTTCAAATGTTTGTATTTCATAATCATATTTCCTATAGAGAATTTTACAAGGGGAAACGTTTTGAAAATTGTTAGTTGATGATTACATTGTGATTAATACAAAGACCAGAAAGATATACATTTTGGAAGTAGAGTGATTATAGACAATGAAGTCATTCCACTGCAAGCCTAAAATCCTTGGCTTGGAAAGGAAAGACAGCACCCCAGCAGAAAAGGTAAGACCTGAGTGCCGAAGCGTGATGCAGAGACCGAGTTCTAAGTGCCCCGCTGCCATAAGTTGAGGCTCGAAAATAGGCAAGTGTTTCTTTCTATTGCCTTTTTCCTCCAAGAATAATAATCCTAACTTCTAGAACTGTTTTCTTCTTCATTGTCTCCTGAATAAAATAAGGGTGCAAGAAGACAAAACAGGAGAAAACTGAAAAGTTTATTAAGAAACTATATATTAGAGAAGAATAGAACTGGGAGCGGGGAGATGGCTCAGTAGAATAAATGCTTCCCTGGCAAGCGCAAGGGCCTGAGTTCAATCCCTGGTTCCACCAAAAAAAATAAATAAATAAATAAATACCACATACCCCTTACATTAAAAAAAGAGAGAGAAGAATACAACTGTGAACTACCAATGTCTGCAGTTAGGACCTGTGCCATAGCAGTCATTGTTAGTATACTTTATTTATATGTGTGTGTGTGTGTGTGTGTGTGTGTGTGTGGCCAACTCAGCCCACCAGGGGGCGGGGCTGGCTGGCATGTGGTGCTGGGGGATTGAACCGCGGTCCCTGTGCTTTGCTAAGCTTGTTCTAAGTAGGTGCTTTAGACCACTGAGCCATCTCACCAGCCCTGAACTGTTTCTAAAGCATTAAAATTGGTGGTACTTGGCATGAAATGTCATGATTCAGTGATGGACTTGCCTTCTAAGTCCCCAAAAGATCACTCACTTTCTATTACAAGGAGCTAGGATAGTCTCTGTTTCACATCCTATCATTCTATTCTGTGCAAGATATAAACAGAACTCTTCTGCAAGTCCCAGAAGTGAAATTGGGGCCATTTAAATTGGAGCTTATAGGAGACACACGTGCCACCTTAGTGCCATGAACTCTGCCCAAAGGCAATGAGTGTAGCCAGAGAAAAGCCAGGTCTGGGGTGGTGCTCAAACCAAAACCTAGGCTGGCTAATATTTTGTGCCCGGAAAGTATTAATTTCCTTCTTTCCTTATTTGGAGTCCAACTCTTATATGTCAGTTAAAGAAATATATATATTGAGCTCAGACTTTTTAAGGCTTGCTGGTAGAGGTGCATAGGGAAACATGCTTCAGTGCCACTGTCCCCATTATCTAAAGTCAATGCGCTCAAACTTAATACTTCTGTAAGGAGACAGAGTAATGAGTCACGTAAGAATCAGATCAATAATACAAGGTAGCACATGATTGATGAGCAAGAGTGTGAATGTGAGAAATGTCTGACTGCATCTAGTAAGTGGGAGAGAAAATTCAAGGGAGAAAAATATTCCAGAGAGAGAGACAGAGAGAAACTATGAACTAAAGGGTCTAGGTACCTCCATGAAAGGATACAATTGGGACTTCAGCAGCAGCACCAGCCACATAACTTGCAGGGCCCAGTGCAAAATGAATTCCACGGTCCCTTGTTTAATAGTATTACGAATCCCTAGATAGCTACAGCAGATCGATAACCTACCAGAGATGCTTCCGGGTGTAGGACCCTCTCTAGCAGCATAGGACATTCTCTGAAGAAGTGAGCCCTCCCCTTCTGTAGCTATGTAGAGGGGATTTGAGCAAAGGTAACACAGTCAAAACATTATGTTTTGATTTTCAAACACAAATCCTTGGAATGGAGTCTTGCAATACCACGAAGGCCTCCGCAGGCACTAATCTACTCATATGATAAATTCTACCTCTCACCGAGAATTCACCACAACCTAGGAAAGAGAAGGCAGCCAGACTCCACAAGGAGAATGTTGGCTCCTGAGATGATGTCCAGAAAAACAAAGTAAGGGTAGTAAGATAACAACAACGGGTGGTCATGACTACTTTACCCACACTTACCCACAGCACTACTGTATTCATGAATCTGTCAATGCTTGTCCTTTTAAACTTTGTCTTACCACTGTTCTGCATGAGTTTGGTGTCAGGACCTGTAAAGAAGATTGGTAACAATTCAGAAATAATTAGATTATGTGTTATTGTTGTTTTTAACTTCCTCTCATACCAATATCTATAAAGGGGAAAATACAGTTTTCAAAATCATTTCATTTGCTTTAGGAGCAGGGGCCGCTAGGTTGCATGGGCTTTGTTTGCTTTGTCTTTGCAGTGCGGATGATTGAAGCCAGGACTACCAGTGAGTTACATCTCCAGCCCTCGAATATGGCTTACAACTGCAGACTAAGCAATAATCCTGGTCACAGAAAGGGAACTGGGCTCAGTGAAAGAAGTCCAGGTAGAACTTGTTACAAAAATCTGCACATGAATGTGCTTCCAGTCTGAAATAGTTAAAAATAACAAACTCAACAAGAGAAAGAAATTATTTGGAAATATTAAAAGAATGAAGTAATGAATATAATTCAGACTGCTAAAATCAAAAAATGAAAGATAAGTCAAATTCCAGATCCTCTTCCCCAAAAGATAAAGCTTTGAAATGTTTTTAAGGGACAAAGAAAACCTCCAAAAGTTTAGCAAGTCAGTTAAACCATTTTTGTGACTGTGACCTATGTATGTAACATGTACTATTTGTAAGAAAAAAATTAGTCTTGCATTACCATGATGTATTTACTAGGCACATTTCAAGAAATTCTAAGAGTATGATGGACAGCTGCAGAGGTGGGTTATTAGATTATTAGCATATTAGAATATTAGAGGACATCACTAGAAATTCCTTGACAGAGAAAATACTAGAAGCAATTGATTTATTTATAACTGACTTCTGTACTGGTACCCACTTCATGCTGTCTTCCTATTATTATTAATCCATGTGGTCATTTAACATAAGAGGAAGGAGAAAACAAAAGGAGAAAAGGGGTGAAATCACACACCATTCTGGACACCAGGAAAGGGTGGGTATATCTTTAAACAGCCTTCCTTACCTAACGAGATAAATAGAAGCATAAATGGGGATCCTGCCTTGCACAATCTTACTCAGGACCACACTCTTAATACTACCTACAGACCAAATGTGCACCTCCAGCTCTACGCTCCTGTGAGTTCTCAACCCATATATTTAAGCCTGTGTATTTTGACAGCTCCACTTGTATCTTTAAGACACCTTCAGTGGTCTTGTCCAGCTCAGCCAGGAATCTCCCTCCAGGCTCCTTATCTCAAGAAATAGCTCCACCGAGTATAATCAGGCACAACCACTATGGAAATCTGTGAGATTCCTCAAAAACCTAGGGTTGGAGGTCCCATTCAACCCAGCTGTTCCTCTCCTGCATATGCTTCTGGAAGAACTGAAAACACCGTGTCACATCAATATACATGTGCTCATGTCTATAGCAGTGCAATTTGTCATAGCTAAATCTTGGAAACAACCCAAATGCCCATCAACTGAGGAACGGATAAAGAAGATGTGGTGTTTTTATACAATAGAGTATTACTCAGCTATAAAGAAAGATAAACTCAAGGCTTTTATAGGTAAATGGATGCAACTAAAGACCATACTCATAAGTAAAATAAATCAGACTCATGTGTGTAAACATCATATTATCTCCCTAGTATAAGATACTGAAAGAGTAAATAAGATCCAAAAGATACAATAGATATTGTGAAAGAGAAACTGCTCAAATGGAAAGAACAACTGGGATGAGAGAAAGGAGAAAAGAAGAAAGAAAGGAAAAAATATACATATATATATATATATATATATATATATATATATATATATTAGCTAGGATACTTGTACTACTAATTTCTGTTGGTTTATTCAAAGGAACAGTTAATGCCTAGTTGTTTGATCAATTTTGCATACCTACATCTGGTAATCTGAACAACTACTTTGAAGATAACAATATCCAGTATAACAATCATTGTTAACTTCCTGTTACCTTGTTTTGAAATACTGCATCATTTTTATTTTTTATTTTTTTACAAAATTAAAAAAAAAAAAATAGCCCCACCATCCTTCTCACCATGATGGTCAGGAGACAACCTACGCATCATAGTTGATACCTCTCCCATCCTCACCTTCAAATCTGGTCATCAAACCTTGTCAGTTAAACTCTCCAAAAAGCTTCTGGGCTTACCCATAATTTCCATCTACCCCAAAATACAAATCATCAGAATGAGACTACCCGGGGCCTGCCGGATCCTCATTCAACCCAGAGCCCAGACCCGGCATGGAACCCTGCAACAGAACTCCCTGCAAAGAGGCTAGAGGCAAGAGCTACCCAGCTGATTCAGAGCAGAATACCTTGCCAGAGTGGCACAGAGGGTTCAACTCCAAAAGCTGCAGCAGGAAGAAGTGGAGCACAGCAGCCAGACCCAAGCCACACCCACTTGGACAAGTTTGAACTTGATAGATCCGGACCTGGTGCTAAGGTAATAACTGTATCTAAGCTCTACACAAGGTCAGAAGACAGTGCTATACAAAACAACAAAGAGAAGAAGCAAAATGCATTCTCAGTCCCCGAGCCCACCCAGAACAAATGCAGGAGACACTAGCATAAAAGAAATTGGAAATCACACACCTGAAATCTCTGAAATAATAGCATCTGAAATAAAGAAACAACTACAGAAAGTATAGAGGAAATCAGATCAGAAATAATTTCTAGAGTAAAAAAAGAAATGATAATTATAATGAAAGAAGTACTAAGTGCTCCTAAAGAAGACACTGATAAAGAAAAAATAGAGCAGAATATAAAAATGATGGAACCCTTCAATAAGCAATATAGGAAAGAAATAGAATGTATGCAGCAGATTCAAAGTGCTATACAGGAAATTAAAACCTCAGTCACAAGCTGGCAAAACCATTTGAATAAAAGTGAAAATAGACTTTCAGACCTTACAGACACCATTGCAGCTAGTGAAAAGGTAAGAAAAGAGCTCTTAAAAACAACTAGGATACAGGAAAAAATAATTCAATACCTGTAGGACGATGCAAAGATGAACAACGTGAGACTAATAGGCATCAATGAGAAAGGAGTCAATACAAATGATATAAAAAGCATATGAATGGAAGTAATGGCAGAAAACTTCCCAAATATGGGGAAACTATCTGACATTCAGGTAACCGAAGCATATAGAATTCCAAATAAAAACCCAATTAAAACTACACCCCGACATATAATAATCAAGATCCCAGAAATTCAGCACAGGAACAGTATACTAAAAGCCACTAAGGAAAAGAAACAGATCACATTTAAAGGAAAACTCATCAGAATAATGGCAGATTTCCCTTCATAAACCATGAAGTCAAGAAGAGCGTGAAGCAAAGTACTACAAGTCTTGCAAGAAAACAAATTCCAACCCAGACTGATATACCCTGCAAAACTCTCTTTCAAGTATAATGGAGAAGTGAAATATTTCCATGACAAAGAACAACTTAAGAATTTAATGAGGACAAAGCCAAGCCTACACAGACTATGAAAAGATGTTCTAGAGAGGGAGCAAAATGACCACAATTCCATGAACGAGAATGGAATGAACCCACCAAATAGGGCAAACAATTAAACACAGGAGAATAAGAGGTGTACAAAAGCAGTCTTTCAGTTATTCTTTTGTATACTGCAGCAAAATATTTCCAAAAGCATCCTCTACAAATGGACTTCTCCTGTACCCTATGGGTCATGATTCTATCTAGGTCTACAGGGTGGATATCAAGGTAATATTAGCTCAGTCCCACAAGTGACACCTGGTCACCAGTAAGCATCATGGACACTATCCATGTCCACAACTCACTAGAACTTTGTGCGATATCCTATCCCCAAACTGTTAGAAGTGCTGGTCATTTATTTGCCATTCCAGTATTTATCTTGTTTTATTCTTAGTAATTCTTCACTATCATGAAAACTTTTTCTTAGTTCAATTGTTTTGAAACATTTAATTTTTAATTAATATTTAGTTTTCTGAATATTGCTTAATCTTAGTTTTTGTTTTAAGGTTTGTACTATATCTTTGATTTATAATCTACTTAAAAGACATGGTATGATATTTTCTAGTATTAGAAACTTTAAAAAGTATATTTCCATTTTCCATTGACTTTGTTACTTTTTCCTTGTCTTTTACACACACACATACACAAACACACACATATGAAAAAATATGTGTATAACCCGACCTAAGATTGATACTGTTTCATAGAAATCTTTAATGACCTCTTAAATGGATTCATCTAATATATTTTACATAGTCCTGCATGACTATCATTTTGAGAGCTCTTTATTCTTTATCCAGGACCTTCCAGCAACTTCTCTTGCCTTCTGAATTATGCTCTTTGTTATTTTCTATATGCTACATCTGGAGGTATTAGAATATTTCAAGTTTGTATAACTGGAAAATATTTTACTTTTAGTTTCCAAGGGTATGTTTGCTAAGTATAAAATTCAAAGAGGGCAGATTTTTTTTTCTTTCAGTCCTTTAATCTGTCTAGTTTCTTACACACTTGGTCTTGTTTTTCTTTCTAATGTGGAATAAGATGCCATTTAATTTTGTTCTTCCATAGCTAATATTTTTATGTATATGCTTTAATGATTTTTTCTTTATAATAAGTTTTGAAATTTCATTTTTATTTATTTCATTTTTATTTTGCACAAATTTCTTGTGCAAAAAATCATTTTTCTTGGAAATGTGTTAGAAGATCAACTAAATTCAGAAATTTTAAATCTTTAAATATTTATTGCCTATACCTTTCTACTTTGAGAATTCTAATTATATAAATATTGACACAGAGTGAACTATTATGACTGATCTGTAAATTCATTTTTATTTTGGGCAATTTTTATTGTTATATTCGTTTAAGTTTATAAATAATTTATTTACAATGTGCAATCTACTATTAATCTCATGCTATATATTCATTTCAGAAATATTTCTCTAAAATTCACTGTCTGTATCTTTTAAAAAAGAATTATGTAACATGTAATGTGCACCAATACCTCACAATGTATATATTTATTATGTATCACAAATATACAGTAATAGAAAAAAAAAAACAGAAACAAAAACAATCATCTCTCAACTGCAGAACCATAGTGACCACATCCCTGCATCCACTCTGCGCCGAACTCCAATCAGTAGCTTGCCTTCTCCCTACACCCCAGCCATGCACTCTCTCCAGGACCTGATCCGTATTTACAGACAATACAAATGCCGTGTATGTGAACTTTCACGTGAAAACACCCCACCTGTTAATAATGGGTCCCCACAGCTGCTAAAGACAGAAGTCCCGGACACCGACCACAAGGTCCTCCGCGATCCGCAGTCGCGTCTTCCTCTCTGTCCTCTGTGCCCTGTGCCTCACTGGCTGAGAAGATTTCTGACCTCAGCATCCTCGCTTCTGCCCTAGGGCTTTGCCCCTGGTGCACCCGCTGGTTGGCTGGCTCCCTCCCTTCCCTGCACTGCACGGGGATCTCCGCTCATGTCCTCCTGGAAGCCTCCCTCCAGCTTGGGTCTAATCGCCTTCCTCCACCAGCGTAACTCATGTGGCCTCTGTTCTTCTCCTTCAGAGTTCTCTCCCTTGCAGACTAGCGTTGTGACTGTGATTATGTGACACTAACATCTGTTTATCCTGCGAGACGAGGGCTCATGAGTGGGAAGACTGCGTTTGAGTCTGTTCACATTTTTAACCCCCTGTGCATGCGCATCATAATGCTTCTCATGTGGACACTTAATTAAATATTAGTGAATTAATGAACTTCCTGAACGTCTAATGTTTTAGGCAATGTACCTACATGCTTTTAATCTTTCATATTAGCTCATACGTAAAGTAAGCCAACAAATGAGGTACAATATCCTCCACTAACCAAATAACAAAAGTGAAGCTCAAGGAATTTAACTTTCCCAAAACTGATCCAGTCTAGTTACAAGTTGAGTCTCAATATAACTATTTTTTTTTTTTCAGAACCAGGGATTGAACTCAGGCCCTTGCGCTTGCCAGGGAAGCACTTATTCCACTGAGCCATCTCCCCAGCCCCGATTTTTTTCCCCAGAACTGGGAATTGAACGCAGGCCCTTGCACTTGCCAGGGAAGTGCTTATTCTACTGAACCATCTCCCCGGCCCCCAACTAATTCTAAAGCTCTTGCTTTTAACTGTTCTTTGTAAACCTGCATGAGTCATTCAACCAATGTCCACTTAAGACTGTATCCCTTTCGGGATCCCAACAGGAAACAGATGATGCGTGGAACAAGGATAATTCCAAGAGACTATCTTTACATGGAGATTCTTTATGGGGCGGATTGCCACTGGACCCCAGGTGAGAGTGTGCAGGGTTTGCAGCCTTTTGGGGACAGGTAACCTTTAGTGGAAGAACCCAGCCTGCCAGATGTGACCACACCAGCATGTGGCCTGGGGAGAGTAAATACCTCGGCCTTCATCCTCTTTCTCCCTTTGATCTTGTCCCAGGAATCGGCATGTCAGAGTCCAACCAGAGGCCAAAACCTAATGAAACCTATTAGTGTCAACCACACATGTCAGCCTCTAAGGCAAAGAAAAAGGTTGGAAGCAGGTAACAGCAGACCCAGGGGGCAGATGGGAACAGCCAGCCCCAAAACCCATGTGCACCAAGATGGTACTGGACATGAGAGACTCCTCAAGGAGTGGGGCTCCCACTCTCACAAGCGAGACCCACCCCTCTCCTGCGCAGAAAGGAAAGCCAGAGCTAGCAAATATGGCCAGCTGGTAACACATACTAGACCCTCATGAGTTACAGGCTTGTCAGCCCAACCACTTCTGTCAAGTATGTCCCTCACAATTCTTAGAAGCAATGCAACTAGAGTAATAATCAAAAAGAATTCTTTTTGGATTCACTCTTATAAGATTTAGTTGTTCACCTGGAATCAGCTCCTTAACCAAATGTTCCAAGTCTTAGGAGATCGGAGACACACATCAGCTCTACCCTGACAAGAACAAAAGCAAGCCTTAATTCCTCTGCTTGTACTTTCCTAGACAAGGGTTCTCCTACCTCCAGTGCCCAGGCCACAGTCAGTGGAGGCATTCTTGGCCTAGCACATGTCCACCTGCCAAACCCCCAGCAATGAACACCCAGAACCATCACAGACGCACAGGAGGCTCCTGCTCACCCCCACTAAAGAAAGATGGCACTTGTCAGGCGCCCTCTTCTGGGCAAATGACCTTAGGGAGCCTGCCTTGTGCTCGCTCTTCTACTTCAGTTCGTCTACGTTTGCAGCAGGTAAAGGTTATATTCACCATGGGGAACTGGTGTGTGGCCTTAACACAGCACTATCCTTTCTGCATCCCCTCCCCCACCCCCCATCCCCTTCCCTTCTGCAAAAGATCTCCCTGATCCCTACTATTTTGTTCTTTGTTTATACTTTGAGTTTCTCATGCAAGGAGCCCACACGATGTTTCATTGGTATATCTGATAGCCACCTAACATTGTGCTCTCAGGGTGCAGCCATCTGCCTAAAAAGGATCTGATTTACCTTTCTTGATGGCAGAGCAGTAACTGTATTGTGCATAAACACATCTTCTTTATCCACGAACCCTTTATCCTGCCATGTACAGCAGAGGAAACAAAGTACAGCATTTGAGGCACCAAGCATGAGGCCCTGCACTGACATCCCCCACCTGCCTGCCCCAAGGGTCACGGCTCTCTGCTACACTCCCAGGAGGAGATCTGCTCAGCTCCACTTCCTCCTTCTCTCAGGTGGAACCACCTCCCCACGAGGACAACCTTCTGAAGGACAATTGGGCCCTCAGTGCTCACAGCTGCTGTCCTAGTGCCGCACGCACGGTGTGACAGTACCTGAGACCCGAATTAGCTACTCCAAGCAGAACTCTTCCAAATGCAAACTCTTGCGCCACAGCCGCATCCCCAAGAAAAGGCTGACAGGGAAAACCTGGAGTCTTCCCACCAGGAGACCTGGAAGAATTCTCCCTTTCATCAAGTGGGAAGGGAGAAGGAAGCTTACAGACAAGCTTCCCTCTCTTGTTTGTCAGCAAGAAAGATGCAAATAGGGAAATAAAATAATTATAAGTTTATTTCCCTGATTAAAGAATGAAAGCCTCTGATGAAAGAACTGCGGAGCCCAATTCTTCCCCAGCCGAAAGCCCTATAGGCCTCATTTCCAGGGATCTCCCAAGCCCTTCCACCAGCTACGCCTGGAGCAGCAGCAGTTTGCTCACACTCACAGCTGAGAGTGTTTAGGAGCAATTGGGAGGACTTTTCTAGCTTTGGAACACTTTGGAGGCTTTAATGAACATTTTGTTGTTGCTGAGGAAAATCAGCGAAGAAAAACATTCCAGTTTTGATTGCGCATATAATCAGCAGACCCAAAACACATCTTAATTTGGTGTCACAGTAAACAGGATTTTAAAAATCAAGGGCTGGCAATTGAAGCCATGAGTCCAATTGGAGTGGCTTTATGAAATGGTGCTACCGTAAGTTTCCTTAGAAGGACAGTGCCACCTCGGATCCACAGACTAAGGCAGAGAAGGCAAGAGCGGCAGAAGAGAAGGGCAGGCGGTGTCCCCTCCCCACGTGACCCCCAAGTCCAGGCAGGCAGGGCCTTCCCACATCCCCCTGTTCCATTTACAGAGTGGAACCAGCGGTGAGCGCAGGCTGTCCAAGAGAGTGCCCCCAGAAGGCTGCTTGCCCTTTGCAGTCTACAGAATGACCAGCTAAGCAAAGCGCTTTCTTTCCTGTTTGTCCCTCATGTAGAGGTGGGTTGATTGCTCCACAGGGTACCAGGGATGCCCTAGCTGTGGGGAAGGGGAGCAAAACTCAAGAGCAGGCTCCCGGTGGGCTCGCTGTGCCATGAGGGCCCCACACCCCCAGGAGTTCGGGATGCCCAGGCTGTGGGACCACGGCTTTTCCCCTGCTTCCTTGCTCTCCAAAGCCAACTCCAGAGCAGCACTTGGAGCCCTGCGGGCAGTGTTGCTGTGCCCTGCCAGAAGGGGTCCCCCAGATCTGGCCCTGCAAGAAGGGGTCCCCCAGATGTGGCCCTGGCCTCAAGCTGTACCTGCAAAAATCACCATGCCGAAGCACCAGCTGGTGTTCCTCAGGACGCAGCCTCTCAGGAGGATCCTCTGGTCGCTGAGCGGGTGCTTGCTGTCCTTCCAGGAGAGGACTCCCACGAACCTATCTAACTTGTTGTTAGGTGCCTCACAGACCACAGTCCCTGGAAAACAAGAAGGCAAAACTCTGCATGACTCCCTGGAGCTCTCCTTAGAAGCCCACGGCTCTGTTTTACCACCTTTGTACACCGTACATTTATCCTTCCCTTCTAGGCCTCGGGTGTCACCCATGCAGCGCTGGACTAGGAGAAAGTAAGCAGGGAACATCAAAGATGGAAGCCTATCAAATATTTTGAAACATAGTTTCCTGTACTGTCCAAATAAAATAGAGAGCACAGAATTCATGAGGTGTATTTTCTTAAACATAAAATAATCACTTGTCTTTACTTCTGATTTGTAGCAAGATTTTTGAAACTACAAAGCAATGACTGCACTGAGAGGGGTTTGTTTTGTTTTGTGTGGGGACATAATATGAATTGTCACAGTTTCCATAGTGAGCATCTAGTTTCATGGCAAAAGTTAACCACCTTGATGCTCACCATCAGGACTTGGGGAGCAGGGGTCGTACCTCGCCTGGGCTTTGTCTGTCTCGTGAGCTGGAGAATGCATGTGATTACTTTCAGCTGCCCTGTGCTTCTTATCTTAATTAGATTCAGATTCCTGGGGACTCTATAGCACCATAGAACTTGGCAAAAATGGCCAGAAGATGTTTCTAGTTTTTGAAATTCCAAGCCCATTCCAAACCAATGAATCAATTCGTTCCATTATTTCCATCAGAAAATACACATTTAAGGTGGGGGGCACTCCAGATTTTAAAAAAAGAAAGAAACCAGAAATCATCTTTTATGGATGCTGTCATAGACATAACTATCGGATTGACAGACATTTCTATTGCGGTTGTGGTTAAATTTTTAGAGTAAGTGAACACAAAGACACAAGAAACTGAAATGGGGTTGGGGGAGGAAAAAAGGAAGAGAGGGGCAGAATGCAAAAGAAGGCTACGGGAAGGTCAGACTCAGCGTGAGACTCAGCACCTTACTACTTTCTCAGTCTTAAAACAATGAAAACAAATGGATTCAATCAGAAGCCAAGAGGGAAACTGAAACCTAACAGGCAGCATTTGAAAAACAAAGAGGGGCGGCATCTCCAGCAGGAGCTGGAAGGTGCAGGGCTGAGCAGAGCTCAGAGAATTTCTCTGGATGCGGACCAGTCAGGTTTCCACTAGAGCAGTAGGTACCTTAGGCCAATAAATTTATAAACACAAAAGGCCGAGGGTGGCTCCCTTTTGGAGGCTTCAGGTCAAGATGGATCAGCTCCGTGCTCCGGGCCTGAGGCACAACAGGGTGGCAGGGGGATGAGCAGAACAGAAAGCCACTTGTTCACCTCAAGGCTGGGGCAGGGCAGACACAGAAGAAACAACGGTCCCACCAACTGCACGTGCAGTGACCTACAAGTCCCCGTCAGATCCAACCTTGGAAAGTTTCCACCAATCTCAGCAGCACCACACTGAGGGCCCACGCTTCCATCACAGGCTTCCAAACAACATTTAAGATCTAAACTACAGCAGATGCTCACCCCATTCCTCTCTACTCTGCCTTCTGAACATAAAGAAGCTTCTAGAGGGCTTCTTTTCCTTCCAGACAAAATGGCAGCCAGTTCTCACATGGCCTGATCCCACTTGCCAAGATAGGAACTCTCTTCAACAGCCTCTGCAACAAAGGAAAACAGACTCTGAAAGCACAGCGGACTTCTCTCTCCTCACACTGCTTCTCCAACCTCCACCTACATTTGCCTGCGACAACAAAAGTTTGGGGGGACTCACTGCAGCCTCATGGACATCTGCTGCTTTTGGACACTTAGATGAGACAACCAACCTTCCCACGACCATTTTTATATCAAGGGAGGCAGCTGAACTGCAGTTAGCTCCTATTATAGCCTATTTACTTACTCAAAAGTAAGTTAAGACAGATTTAAACTGGCTCAAATTGTTCGGACAACTGCGTTGTAGATAAGGAGACTTTTTCTAAATTCTCAGAATTCATTATCTTTGTTGACCCACAGTTTTTACTCCTGAATTTCATAGAACATTAAATTTGACGGGCATCACTCACAACCCTTACATAAAATAATAGGCTCTTAAAGCTTATTTCAGCTTCTTGACTCAGGACTCAATTTCTCAGGCTTCAAACTTGGCCACTAAAAATAAATAAAAATTTTTCAAAATGTGATTTGGGCAAAGACAACATGACACATGGTCCCTGCCAATAGGAATATGAAAAGCAGGCTCATTTGATCATTTTTATTGTCATAAGCAAAGACTGACGCGGAGGCAAAGGCTGCCTTGAACATGTTGGCTCCCCACTCCCTGGCCCCAGGGCTCAGCCGCTCTGGCCTGGCCCCAAGGGTGCGGTTCTAGACAGGAACAGGCATTCAGGCCAACGGGTTCTGCTTGAGTTCCTGGAGGCCAAGCCTCAATTCAGCCTTTCTCAAAGAGTGTGGTCCCCGTGATTAAAGCACTAAGTGCAGGACCCAGTCAAAACAGAATGGTGGGAACAAAGCCAAAGTCATTTTCCCATAATTATCGGAAGTGTTCCGCTTCCCCTTGCGTAGCCTTGTTATTATTAAGCACCAATTTCCTAATTTCTTCTCTTCCCCTTTCCAGAAGAGGTTCCTTTGAAGGGAGTATCTCTATAGCTCCATAAGCTACCATACCTATCTTTGTGATCGGGTCTTAATAAATATTTTTGGGAGAGATGGATGGGAAAATTTTTCAGATGGGTTCATGAGGGAGGTTGGAAGATGGGATAAATATTAGAGTAAAGATAAAAAGAAAAGTAGATATAGTTCCCTGGTAATAATAACAAAGGAAAGTAGAACATCAGAGAGTCCAGGCACAATGGCAGGCTTGGGTTGATGTAACTAATGGAAGTCAAATAGACCCAAAAACAGTGAACAAAAGTGGAAGTCTCAGAGCACATCAGAAACAAATAAAAATAGATCCCAACCAGCACACATGAGAAGGACTAGGGAAAACTCTCTGAGGCCTCTTCTTCCTTTTCTTTTTTCTAGCTGTATCAGAGATAAGCAACCGCATTAAATGGTCAGTTCGGCGTTCATAAGGAAACTATTTAGGGTGAACAGCATCTTTTCCCACGAGGCCATTCATTGAATATACGATAAGAGCACAGTTATCTTTGTGATACAGCCAGGGGATCATGTCAGTAATGAAATCAGTAGACATCATTAAACTAGAGCATTTCATTTGTTTCTCTGAAAAGATGCCAAGCCATCGATGACCCATTTTACAATCACACCGAAATGCCTGTGCAGATGAGACCCAGCACCCCTCCTCCGGGCTCTGCACTCACCCTCCAGCAGGTAGCGAGGTTACAGCTAATTACTTAATAAACTTCTCAAGCTCAAGAACCTACCTCAGTACCCGATATTCTATGGTTGTTCAGAGAAGTTAACTTAAAAGACATCAGAACTGCTGTTTAAGAGTTTCTCTAATGAAGAACTTCTTGAAGTTAAAGATATGGCTCACTCTTGGTGCGTGATGGTTATAATAAATATTTTTTTTCCTTAGAAGTGTGTCACCTTCCTATTTTCTAAAGCCCTTTTAATGGTCTCCAACCATTAAGTCCTTGGACAACCATCATGACTACTGCCTTTGCCATGTTAGTAACAACAGAAACAGGATTTCTGCTTATGTGTTTACATAGAATCTGCATCTCAGGCATCCACTGTGCTGCTGAGCACGTGCTTCCAGCAAGATGAATGGAAGAGCTATCTGGGAAGTTCTAAAAGCCACAAGATGCTAAGCAAGCCTTTTTATTTCCTTTTTAGCCAAAAAGAAATGCTTATTTTTGCTGTGCCTTAATTACACACATGCTACTCTTTAGAAAGGACCACAAAATACACAAAGATTCCTGAGTAAAGCGTCAACCTTTCTCTGGTTCAGAGTTCGGTATTAACCGTCACACAAAATATGTAAACTTGTCATGAGTTGCAAAAAACAGATTTCAGTCCAGTCAGTAACAATAGGCAAAAAGAGTCTTAAACACATTTGGGCAATTTACATCCGGGGCTTTCCCCAAGGCATAAGAATGTCCAGTTTATAAATGTGTAATTGACAAGTATTTCCAGTTACGTATCCATAAAAGCTTTCCAATTCCCCTAAGACTTTAACATGAAAAATCATAGGCCACTCAGTTTTTATAGTTGTTATAATATTAGGCCAAATTATGTATCTTTTCTTATAAAACTTAACAGACTATACATTGTCTTTTTTATATATGAGAACTTATCAAGTAAGTGGATTTTACCTACTAAAACCTATCCCTGGCTTGTGTGTACTGGCCGGGCCTTTTATAAATTCTTATCAGGTTTCTTGACATTCAAAATCACTGCGAACACTGCTATTTTTAAAATATATGTATATGATGACATTATCCTGGGGGGGTATGCTCTCTGGTAGTTAATTTTGCTCTGCTAGGATTCGAGTATTTGTAGCTAATTAGTGAGCTATGCTAACCAGGTCTCCTCTCTAGTGCTGACTTTCGGCTCACAGTTGAGAACACTGGACTCTGTGCCCTGGGTCAAACAGGCTTTGCCAGTGACCCAAGGTTCATATTCTGACTGCCTAGTAACCATATGAAATCGGAAAACATATGCAAGCCATTGGGGTCCCCGATTGTTTATTCACAACTTGAAGCTAATAATAATCTCTTCTTCAACAGCTGTACGGATTTAAGAGAATAATATGTATAATGACTAAACATGACGTGAGTCACATAGTGAGGAGCTGTCCATGTGTCCATGTACCATGTGTTCACGTGTGCCCATCACGTTCAGGGCCTGAGAATTTTCCAGGCCCTTTTCAAGTCTTCTTGAGGATGAGGCCTTGCTCAAATATGCCTTCTGTACAAATCCTGTGAAAGCAAGACTTGACTCTGCTAACCACTGTATCCCCAGGCAAATCCCTCAGCACTGTACGGAATCTACATTTGTTGGACAAATGAATGAGCTCGTGCAATACCCAGGAAGTCAGAGCAAGACCCTGTCCTTAGGTATAAATGCAAAAGTGGGGAGGTGGGAAGACTAGTGAGAGACATTCCAAAGCCAAACACATCTGTTCTGACCCCACATCAATCAGTTGGGAGTAGTCCTCAACTTGGGGTCAGTTCTGTTGGGATTTCTCTAGGAATAAGAACAGGAAATTCAGGTCTTTGGATACTTGAAAGGTGTGCACTCATGATACAAGGATGGGAAATGTGGTTTGGGGCTAGTCAAAGCATTTTGGCAAGTCTCAGAAGAAAAGCCACAGAATAAGCAGAAGGAAAAATAGTACGACACCCAGAGTTGCCTAGATTTCCCACACTTGAAGACACACTTAGTGCAGTCAGGACATGGGCAAGGGTGGGCTTCTGCATCGGTGTCATCTTCTCCTTTCCAAGGCTGGGCAGGCGTTTCCTGGGGCACACAGTGCTGATGTCATCCCTCTGATTGACACTCGAAGGTGCACCATTTGCTCTTGGTTCCCATGACTTGAGAGAGTCTTTGTGGTTGTAAGAAAACCTGAGATCTGCTGATACTTCAATAAGACAAAGATGATAAAGAAGACCCCAGAAAGGGGGTAGGAGCACGTGGGTGGGGGAAAGGATCAGAAGAACCTGGGTGATTTATATAGAGCTTGTTTATCATTCTACATACTTTTAGAGTTTCTCCTAAGGAGGTGCTTAATAAATAGACTCTTAGCCTAGTTAATATGCAGAGGATGGTGAAAACAACAAGAGAAAAATTAATGAAGGGAAAAGAAAGGTAAAGAAAAGAAAATAGAAAAGAAAACAGTAAATAGAGTGAAAGAGAAAGATGGAAGTGGGAGAGTGAGAAAGCCAGTAAAAAGGAAGGAGAATGGTGACGATGGGAAGGTGGACAAATGCACGCAAGTCACGTATTTACACATGTGCGTATGTGAGAGTGAACCACAGGAAGTCACATGTAAATGAGGACTTGGGAAGAAACGAATGGAGGAAAAAAATCTACAGGACCCGAGGAGTCCTGGGAAGGATGCAGACGTTGCCTGCTGCCCCAGCTCCTTCAGAGCTTTTCCCTCCCACTCTTACATCACTCTCTAGGCCTTTAAAGTTGGCTATTAACAGGGGAAGTCTAATTTTTATATTGTATCTAATTTGCTTCCCCTTCATCCATCTATTCTTCAGATGCTCTCTTGGAAACAGGAAATGATGCTCTAATAAGCATAATTCTACAAAATACCATGCTGCCTCAAACTTTAAGATAGATTCAAACACAACCCAAGATTGAAGAATGAAAAAGGAAGTTTAGCAGCAGCTTGGTTCTCAGCCCTAAAGTGTACCAACTTCATGAATTTGGCATTAGATATTCTCCAAAAAGTGACGACAATTTAAGTACATGTAATAAATACAAAAGAGAGGTCTGCACTGCCCTCATTTGGGAAAATAATTTTGCTCTGGAGATGTGTTGAGCTGCCAATCCTGTAAGAAACAAATTCAGGTCACATCTAATAAATATTAATTATTCATATGCTTTAAAAGTAAATTTTATGAACTACTTTTCAAACTATTTTTAATTAGAGCAAAGCTTTCACCCTGCTTGGACCCTAGTTCCCTGCCTGGCATCTAGGAGCCATGAGGTAGGAACAGTGAAGTGTTTCCTGCTTGGGCCAAACAACACCATTGCATTGACTAAAATGTGGCTCTATGTACAACCTGGACAGAGAAAAGGTTCGGAAGTAAAGACGTTAACACTGCCCGGCTCCAGGGGACCTCTCTCCACCCACCCTTCAGAAGGAGACCCAGCACTCCTTTATTCCACCGAAGTCCCTTCAGGAGCTGTAGGGACCTGCTCTGCTCTCCAGGGCTTGCTAAAACCTGACATTGACCCTGCTCCTCATTCCCTGGTACCCATAACCATCACTTCATTCACTTGTTCAGCAAGGATTTATTTAAGCACCTACTATGTGTCAGGGTGGAACAGTGAGTAAAACAAAGATCCCTGGGTAGTTTATACAGAGACAGACAATAAATAATAAACTTTGAGAATAAATGAATTGTATAGCATGCCAGATGTTGGTGCGCTAGAAGAAGCAAAGGTGAGCAGCGGGGAGTGGATGAGGCCAAAGTCCTGCTGAGGAGGGAACATTTGGCCTCCAGCCTGCAGCTCCACAGGTGAAATCCACCTAATCCAGCCTGGTTCGTCACATGACCCTGGCACAGACACACGTGGTCCATAGTTCCTAGACAGTGTGGCAGAGATGGAGGTCTACAAAGGTCTATGTTGCTCGCTAGTTGCTTTTGTGGTTAGGTCCAGGCCAGGTGACTCATGATTACCCATGAAATACAAGAGCAAGGAACAGTGAAAACTGCCAGTGCCTCTTCCATGCCCCACCTTTTCCCTCCCGCGTGGCCCTTGAGGCCTTCGGTCTAAGCACCGAGGATATAGGTAGAAAAGGCTACCCATCACGTCAGACAAAATAAACCCTCACTGTGTTTATGCCGCTAAGACTTCACAGCGATGGAACTGCCTAGAGTGCAGGCTATCTGTACCAGTATCAGAACTACACAATTGTAGCAATCACTGTCTGCTTTTTGATGGTCAAGAACACAAAAGTCAACTTCCACCTCTTTGTAAACTGACAAGTACAAAATTCTGCCAGAAAAGAAGTAATGGGAAATCATATTTAGGTTGCCCTTTAAAGACTCCATGAATCTTCAGTGAGGTATTTTAAGCAAGTATTTTGATGCGTAAATATAAACTACTACTCTTAGATTCACATAACAGTAAATTTTCATTGAAAAAATAGTTGCAAAATGTGTAATTTGTTTTAATCTAATCAAAATAATTCTTGAGCCATTCAAATTCCAGCCTAATCCCCTGATTTCAATCTCAATTTGGAAGCATATTTTTAATAAACATTTGTTATAATAGTGCTCGAGTAAGAGAGATTAAAATATTAACAGACTCCAGAGAACAGTTTACAGGCAAACGCAGAGCAGGAGCATTATAAGCCCTAAGGCTAAGCTGCGCATTCAAACATTTCACACTATAAACTAAGCTTGCCCTGGCCCTACTCAAGGGAAGCTGCCAAATTCACATTTTCCTATCATGGACTCTAAAGAAAAGGTTTGGAAGAGTGGTCTCAAAATCCTAAAGATTCATTCATAAATAAAATGGGGCTGTATGGAAATAGGAACATTCAGGACTAGAATTATAAGTGGGTAAAGCAAAAGACGTTTGAGGGCTGGCAGGCAGGCCACACAGAGTCTCCTTACACTCCATCACAGCACCCCAAGCCCCACGATTAGGGACTGTCCCTTGACTCCTGAAGATACCTTTAGTTCTCTGCGGTCTCCTACTGATCAAATGAGACCCTCCTAGCGTGGACGCTATCTGCAGACCATCCCATGAATGTCTAAGAAGAACTTTAACAGAGAAATCGAAACATAGCTGGCACGGTGCAGCACCCGTACTCCCACGTGAAGAGGAGGGCACTCGGCTGGACAGTGTAAGGATGGTGATTAATAAAACGTGGCTCAGAACAAAAGGCAACAGCCAGCCAACCGATTTATAAATCAGAAAATCCTTCCTGAACACTTGATGTCAGTACAAATATACAAAATACAGACACACGCAAAGCAGGGCACCTGTCTTGGCAGTCAGCGGGTTGGGTTGCGGGACAACACATGGGCGGATGGTTAGAGGTAGAGCTAGAAATCAGAGCGAGGCCTGTATTCACACCCAGCCAGTCCACGCAGGGACCCAGGGAAGCCACCGTCAAGGAAACGAAAAGCACTGTGGGATTCAGGGACAAGACGAAAAGGAGAAGGCACAGGGTGAAATTAGAGATGGCCGGAGGAAGCGTCCTCCCCTTGGCAAACACTTGTACTCTTTGCCCTGAGAAGAGATTGCAGCATTTGATGCCTGGAGAATTTTATGTGCTCACCACGTAAAAAGAAACATAAAATTGACCTCAGATAATTAGTTTCTTGCACTGCTTTTTAGTGTGGAGGGTTTTGTTTATCTGTTTGAAGCACTTACCATCAAACTTTGCGAGCCTGCTAATGTCTGCTCCAAGTTCTGAGGTGACAGCAAGCGCATGACGAACTTTAAGGTTCGTTTCCCTGTGAAGTGAGCGACACGCCGTGAGTTCTTACATGGGTCGGCTCCGCAGGGTCTCAGCAAAGCAGTCTGCGGGCGCAGCACACGCAGAGAGGGATCCAAGGACCACCCAGCCCCCGACATTCACACTTCTCCCACGTTTTGGGCGAGTGCGCAGGGCTTCCCAGGCTCCCGCAGTGGGCGCCCCCCCACCACCACCACCACACATCTGCGCGCAGCTCAGTGATCTGTTTTGCAATGTGCAAGGCTGGAGAACATAATAAATATGATTTCACTTGAATCCACTCAGACACATGCGTGAGTTATAAAACACACCAGGAACAGGAGTGCAGCTGCCAAGTAAAGGAGGCCGGTATCACTCCAGAGTCTGCTATCTGAGAAAGAGTTTTTCTACCAAAAAAAGTGGTCATGGTGAATTTTACGGTAGCTGAAACTTAAATGGGAAAAAGAAGACAGCTTTATTTTTCTTGGAGAATCAAAGAAATCCATAAGTCTAGAAGAGGAGAAGCAGGCAAGCTCTGTGGGTCACAGAAGCCGGTCACCTCACAAGGCCACACGTACTCTGAAGAGGCAGCACCTTAGTTTCCTAAATGGCCAGCGGTGATTCCATGGGCATCCTTACTGCCTCACGTTTAAGAGCTTTCCGTTCCAGCTTTCTCAGAGTTCAACCGAATTTTTCTCTACAGTAGCTTAAAATCACTTATCAGTGTTTTTTCTGTTGTGTAAAAGAGTTCGTTCAGTCAAGAAATATTAACTACATACTACAGTCATGTAGGATGCTCAACGCTTCACCAGGAGGATTACTGTCTTCTTGAGGGAAACAAGTAGAAAGTAAAAATACAAAACAAAACAAAAACGCTTATGTCTCTGCATGGAATCCTATTCTAACCTATAAAATTCATCAAGTCTAGAGAAGGAAGAAGCAGTTACCTGAGAGAGCATTCTACCTCACTTCCTAGTAATGAGCTTCACACTGGTATTAGGACTCTAGGAGCCCCCCAGGAAGGCCTGTTGGTGAAATGGCTTCCTTCGAGAAATACACGGTTGGACACATAATCAAAGTTAGTTTAAAAATTATCTTATTCAAAATATGTCAATTCCTAGAAGGGAGAGGTGAGAAGAGGTTAAGGTGGTCAAGGACATCATAATTGAGGTAGAAATTGAGCTGGGATTGGTGGACAGAAGTGAAATAGATGGTGTCAAGGCCCAGAATCTAACATGTCCACATCCACTGAAACTGCTTTGTAAATAATTATTCTAATCACGTCAGCTGAGCCAGTGAGCTCTCAGTCTCCGACTCTGCGCTACCGGATGTCACTCATCAAAGTTCAGCATCTGTTAGAATTATTTCCTCTGGATGCTCTCCGGTACCTCACCTCCACCTCCAAACGGGAAAACCAAAAGGAGGAAAGTAATCACATACAGACCTCACTGATGCTTTAAAAAAAATATCTTTCAAGACTCTTGGTTAACATCCTCAGGGCTATGCAATGCTCTTTCTTAACCTACTCAAAATCATCATGAAGTCCAAAGTGATGTTTAGCACAAGACACAGCACATGAAGATTTTCTGTGGCTTGCACTTGGATTCCCCTGATATTATAGTGTCGCATCACCACCCAGGTACGGACAGCAACCTACAGGACGTTTCCACCAAAACAAGGCTCCCTCGGGCCACTCTCGATAGCCTCACTCACTCCTCTCCCTCTTCCTCCCCTCTTTAATTCCTGACAACCACTAATCTGGTCTCCATTTGTACAGTTTTTCCTTTTCGGGAATGCAGTAGAAGTGGAAGCTACAGCTTGTGCTTCCCAGTCCTGCAGCATTCCCTCACGTTCCTCAGCAGGATTCCCTGAGCAGTCGCCTTTGGGGCACATACGCACGGCTTAGTATTGCTGCGAGGTGTTCCATGAAGCGGCCGTGACACTTTTTTTGTCCAAACATTCACCTGTGGAAGGATGTCTGCCACGTTTCCTTTGAGGAGGCATCAAATCCACCAGCCATACACCTCCATGAGTAGGTTTCCTGTGTAAACCGAGGTCTTCATTCCTCCAGAATCAATGCCCAGGCGTAAACTGCTGAGCTGCATGGCAGTCGTACGTTGAGTTCTTAAGAAACTGCCAGATCATTTTCAGTGTGAATTTTCTTATTCGCACCTGCAGTGTACGAGAGATGCTGTCTCTCCACAGCCCTGCGGCCTCAGAGCCATGGCACTGTTTTGTATGAGCGGCTCTGAAGGATCTGAGAGCTAAAGCGCTGTGGTTTAACTTCCCTCGTGGCTGAGGATGCCAAACAACTTTTTGTGCACTTACTAGCAATGTCCTCTTCAGTGAGGTGTCGCTCTGTGTCATTTGTCTACTTTCTCAGTAGGTATCTTTTTCAACTTTTGAGTTTTGAGAATATTTTTACATACTCAAGATTCAAACCTTTTGTTAAATAGATGTGTTGCAAAAGGTTTTTGCCAGTCTGTAGCTTTATTACCACACCCTCTTAACAGGGTTGTTATAGAGAAAACAATGTTAACTTGACGAAGCCTAGGATATCAAAATTTCCTTTTTGTGGATCATGATTTTTGTGTCAAACCTAGTTAGTAACTCTTGGTGTAGCCCCACATCTCAAAGATATTTTCCTGTATTTTTGCTTAAAAGTTTTAAAGATTTATGTTTTAAATATTTCCAGGATTATTCAAGTTCTCTATCTCATATTGGGTATACAGCCTTCTTAGTTACTTTTCTCATTACTGAGACCAAATAGCCCACATCTAAAGTTGAAGGGGGAAAGGCTGCTCTGGCTCACAGTGCGCACAGGCCTCCGTCCATCATCGGCTGGCTCCAAGGCAGGGTGGCGGCACAGGCAGGGTACGGACAGCAACCTACAGGACGTTTCCACCAAAACAAGGCTCCCTCGGGCCGCTCTCGATAGCCTCACTCACTCCTCTCCCTCTTCCTCCCCTCTTTAATTCCTGACAACCACTAATCTGGTCTCCATTTGTACAGTTTTTCCTTTTCGGGAATGGGGTAGAAGTGGAAGCTACAGCTTGTGCTTCCCAGTCCTGCAGCATTCCCTCACGTTCCTCAGCAGGATTCCCTGAGCAGTCGCCTTTGGGGCACATACGCACGGCTTAGTATTGCTGCGAGGTGTTCCATGCACAGAAGAACAGTCCATGGTGGGCAGAAGACAGCAGAACCAAGCGAGCACGGGGCCTTAACAACGTCCTCCGCCCTTTTACCTTATCCCGACTTCTCAGGGCAGGTAGCGCCCACTACCCTGCACCCTAGCCCCTGGGCCAGCACTGCACCGTGAATCAGCTCCGGTGTCACACTAGACCAGCCGCCTCTGAGAGAGCCCCAGCTGTGGCTTGTGAGGGGGTAGGGGGTACCCAAACGCAAGCCTTGGTGTTGTTTTTGTTTGTTTGTTTGTTTTTGCTTTGCTTCGCTTCATTTTGTTTTGAGGAAGAGCTCTACTTTGTCTAAGTTGTCCAATTTTGTAAGTAGGGTTGTTTGCAGTATTTCTGCATTATCCATTTGATGTTTTCAGGATCTGTAGTGAGTTCTGCTGGCTCGTTTATGATACTGATAATTCATTTGCATTTTCTTTTTCTCTCTCCCCATAGGCTCATCAACTAACTTGATATTTTCAAAAAGTCTGTTTTATTCACTTTATTTTTTGTGTTTAAATTCCTTTATTTTTGTTCTGTCTTCATTGTTTCCTTCCACATACTTGTTTTGGATTTATCTTGCTGTTTCCAGGTTCTAGAGAAAGATTAATTTGAGGCTATTTTCCCAAGTATCTGCCCTTCTCTATCAGCTATCTCTGAAACTGTCCTGTCCAACCCGGGGCAGGCTGATCCCACAGGCCAAATGCATTGAATACCTTAATGCAGCAAACTATCAGCTTGCCAAGACGGTGTCCTGCTCTCTAGAAATCTGGGGTAAATTCTCTAGCCTCTCTAAGCTTTGGCTTCACTGTGTGTACAATAAGACTTGTATAAAACCCACAGTATTACAAAATGATAAAAATCCATTTAAGGAACACACACATATTTTAGCATCTTTATAATATAATCGTGCAGTAAATATTTTTCCAGACAAATTAAGTCCTCTGAAACAGGACTGCTATGAGGGCCAGAGAGATAGCTCTGTGAACTGAGCCCCTGCTTAGGCAAGCACAGGGACTGGGGTTCGATCTCCATACCCCATGCCACACCAGCCCCACCCCCTGGGTGTACTGAGCTAGGGGTCAAGTCTAGGCGTGATGACACATGCCTATAATCCCAGTGCAGAGGAGGCTGAAAACAGGAGGATCACTAGGAGTCTGAGCTGTGCAGTGAGACCCTGTACCAATTACATAAATGAAAAAAAAACCTGCTCTGTTGTCTATAACTAATTGCTGAACTGTGCCAATTTTGGAACTGCAACCTGGTCTGTTTCTCTCTACAGTTTCACCTCTAGTGGCTCCTAACAGTGCCTTTCAGGCTCTCCTTCCTCTGAAAACATGGACCTCCACCCTTTGCATTTTCCCTAGCCAATCACTTGAAATTAAAACAAACAAAAGCTTCCAAAAACTTCACCAAGAGTCCCTGTGCAGGTTGTTCATATATCACCACTGTTGCTAAAAGAAAATCAACTCAAGAGAAAAAAATTTCCCAGGTAAATTAAAGAGAAAATATGTTTTCAAAGTTAAAAACTCAGATTCCTATTTTTTCCAAGAAAATAAAGGATGAGGTTTGAGTCCTATTTCTAAAGACTCTGTAAGTTTAAAAAACAAATTAATTAGTTATTCTAATTTAACAACTCACCCATCAAGCTCAGCGGTTTCAATGTAGCAGAGGCCATGGGGCTCACTACTTGATAGAAGAAGCAAATCAGCCTGTTTTAAGAAATCACAGCACACAATACTTGAGAAGGAAAGATGGGTTGGAAGGCAGCTACACTTATCCTCACCACTCGTTAACCCCGGAGCCTTGGGGGTGCTCATCAGGGAGGCCGCACTACTTCTGGGTCACTGCCCGAACCCCGTCTTCCCTCCCCAACCCTGACCCGAGCAGAAACCAGGGTGGAGGTAGCGTGTCAAACAGTACCCCCCTGCTTTACCTTTTTTGATTATTACTTGCTTTGGTACAA